ACACCACCACACTTGGTTCCGGGGTTCCTCCATATCTCCTTCCCTTTTGTTAGCAATCTTGTGTTTCCAAATCCCAAAACTCTCTGGAATTCTGCTGCATGGATTGGCTATGTCCTTTACTGCCATCTCCAAGAAGGYTTTTGCTTTTCACATTTCTCAACTCTTCTGACTGCTCAACATGCTTTCCATCTTCCAAAAGTTTCTGAAGTTTCAGGTCTGCTGTTGTCTCCCCTTCCATTCTTTTTGTCTTTGTGGTATTGTACCTTTAAAAAAAAATTATCTTATTCTCATTTTAGAGGTATTTTAGGAAGGGAGTAAAGATAACACATTTTCTCAATTTGTCATGTTTGATTTGACACCCAGATTTTGTATTTGGAACTACGTGTTCTGAGGCTTTGTTCATTATAAGCTCCTTAGAGCTAGTGAGGTTTGTGCTCTGGGAGATTTACAAACCCTGCTTTTATTGTGCCTTTATTGTGTACCACTGCCACAACAGAACTCAAAGACTGGAAGATAATTTGATGAAGCAAATAACACACTCACAAAAAGGTGAAAAAAATTTAGAAAACCTAACAATCATTGAAAATAGGTGGTAACATGTAACTTTGAGTAGGAGGTGACATCTGAGCCAAGTTTTGGTGCATAAATTCTATTTGCAGTTGCTGAAAGGCAGAGGAAAAGCATCTCAGAAAAACATGAGCAGTGMCTTGAATATGGGGGTGACCATGACATATTTATGGAACAGTAGAGAACAGTTTGACTGTTAGAAAGTAGTTGAGTAGGTGGGTTTCCTTTAATGTGCTTTAGAATTTTACTTTATATAAATGGTGGGAGGGAAGAATTAAAGTACTGAGTAGTTAGATCTGAAATGACARTGAAGACTAGTAAATACCAAGATTCTTTAATTTTTTACACTGATTAGTTATAATATTCCTCCCCTTAATTGCTTTTTGTTAYGTTGATTAATAATTATTTCAAAAAGTAAAAACAGTATAAAAGGGTACAAGGACACATCTTACTCCTATAAATCATCATCCACCTTGTGTTACCCCCACAGGCAGCTACTCTTAACTTTCATTTTATTCTATCCAGTTTTCTTTATGCAAATGCAAATGAGTTAGTATCTTATTTCTTGCCTCCCTAAATCTGTTTCCTATGGCTGCCATGACAAATTTTCACAAATCGGATGACTTAAAACAACAGAAATTTATTCTCATACAGTTCTGAAGAATAGAAGTCTGAAATCAAAGTGTCATCAAGATTGGATGTGGTGGCCTAAGCCTGTAATCCCAGCAACTCAGGGAGGCTGAGGCAGGAGGATTGAAAGTTCAAAGCCAGCCTCAGCAATTYAGTGAGCCCCTACGCAATTTAGTGAGACCCTGTCTCAAAATAAAAAAAGAAAATGGGCTGGGGATGTAGCTCAGTGATAAAGCATCCCTGGATTAAATCCCTAATACCCCCCCAAAAAAGGTGGGTGGKTCACCTGGGCTGTGTTCCATTTGAGACTCTGAGTAAAATCCTTCCTTGCCTCTCCCTGGTTTCTGGTAGTGGATATMAGTCCTTGGTGCTCCTTGGCCTACAACTGCATCACTCTCATCTCTACCTCTGTCATCACAGGGGTCCCCCATGTGTCTTTATTTTTATGTAGGATTTTCATTCTCTTATAAGAACCTCAGCCATATTGGATTAAGGCCCACCTTAACTTGATTACATCTGCAAAGACTTTTTAAAGACATTTTTTCAAATAAGATCATATTCTCAAGCACAGGGGGTTAGGACTTCAACATATTTTTGGGGGATATATAATTCAATCCATAACTCATTTCTCAAACAGAGCTAACACCCTATATCTACTATTTTKCAGCTTACAATTAAAATATAACTGTGTATCTTAGGATTCTTCCACATCAGTGATCTTACTCTCTTTTTAGATCACAGCATGTTCCACTGTGTGGCTCTATTGTAGTTTATTGATCAGTTCCCTAAAAATGGACACTTGGCTTGTTTTCAATCTTTGACTATTTCAATGAGTAGYTTGTACATATATCATTTTGTGTGTGTTTGGAAGTCCATCTGTATGATAGATTCCAACAAGTGGGTTTGTTAGGTCCAAGAATAAATGTATGTGTGATTATGGCAGTATTTCCACATTCCTTTCATAGGTGTTATGCCATGTTACATTCCCACTAATGATGTATGAGAATGATCAAACCTTTAGAYTTGCCAATCTGTGATATGAGAAGTGACATTTCCATTGAACTTTAATGTTTATTTTTCTTATTATGCACCTCCACATCTTCAACATCATTTTATATTATTATTTTGTATAAACTTTTAGCCAGAAAACTTGGCAAGGTAGAAACTTGTATTATAGTATAACATCAATTATATAGAATTATAATTAAATACTTAACTTAGGTTATTTTCCAGAGTGGGCTCTCTCCTGGGGAAWTATGACTCATCCTTCTTACTTTAGTGACTCAAGTAACGGAACAAATTA